CGACTACAGCAGTAACGAGCTGACTTAGTGGCACACTACTTCTCCTACTAACAATCCTGTAATACCCTTCATAATATGATATAGTCATTTTTGAGTAGCCCAGGAAAGACTAAGGGGGATCAGTAAAGAACAATCGGTAGGATGCAAGAGTTGATAAACTGTAAAAGTAGAGGTTGTGTGATTTCCGATTGTCTTAACTTCTTATTGTAGAAGGTTAAACGAAACATTTTCTTGGAAGTTAAAAAGATATGGGATGACCAAGAAAGATCTGAGGAAAGAACCATTCCAAGGTATTTAATGCTTCATTTAGTTTCTGTTTTTGTCCTTTATGCCTGCACAGTGGTTAACTCTCGCCGACCATGCACATGGTCCGAGGTTCGATCCCTGCCGACGACACTGATATCTATGGTTGGCCTGTAATGTACCAATTATACAGGCATCACGTGAACGAACCGGTTCGTGTAGATCACATCAGATAATGGAAGAACACCAAAACTTTATTAGCCATTTTGGTATATTTATTTTAACATATTCTCAAACGAAACCTAGTAGGCTTTGTGAACTGAATTTTCCTTTCACCCGGAGATGATATTCTATTCAAGCAGTATTTATCTCCTGAATGCTACGGGAAATAGTCCTGCAAACAATTATTTTTATTTTTCTTGAAAAAACCCTCTTAGTTGATGTGAATACAAAATGCTGTTCAATACCATATCATCCAATAAATTAGACTACAGTTAAGAAAAGTCACAGTAGTTGAAATATTATAATCTGTCGTGGTAATATCTTTCGTATTAAGCAGTATCTAAAATGTACCTGAGTGAAATACAGTCCAAAATATCTTCAGCTTGTTATTGTTATTATTATTATCATATCACTACAACTACTAGCAGAGTTCATATCAGTTTCCAAAGCCAAGTATTTCACTTTTACTTATATGTTCTAATGCATTTATTTTGGATATGAAATAAGCTTAGATTTGTTTTCCAAATAAATGAACTTCAGGAAAATTTGTGAATTCTTCTAATTCCTCCGTAGATTGTAGTAAAAGTGGGTGGATAAAGTACATTGTACTGAAAAAAACGTATAAGTTAAAGTCAAGAGAAAAAAAGACAATGAGAGATAATATCATTTATTCTGAAGATATTATTAATTATGGCTAGGAAATAGTAAGAGAATTATTTTTTAAGGTTGACCACGAGAGTACTGGATAACTGTTTCCGCTATTCTAGTTTGAGACTCATTGGCAGACGCATCCACTGGGGCTCGAACCCAGGACCTTCTGGTTACAAGACAGGCTCGTAGACCATTCAACCACTGGGACCCGACTCAATAGCCAGCTCATAAAGTCTAACTTCTACTAATTCGTGGTTTTAGCACGATCGCCAAGTATTTGTCCACACTGCCATGACGTCTCATTAGAACTCCAGGAAACTCCATCCTGTAGCCAGTCACTAGCGAGCATCAGATTAGTTTTTAAGAGTTGGTTGGCTTGTGGTCGCGTAAAAAATCAAGAAATTGGTAGAAGTTAGAAATCATGAGTGATTGAGTCGGATCCCAGTGGTTGAATGGTCTAAGAGTTCTTCTTGTAACTGGAAGGTCCTGTGTTTGAGCCCTCTCGGTGGGTGCGTACTGTCAATGAATCCTAAACCAGAACGAAACAGCCGTCCAGTGCTTCCTGGTGGTTTTCGATAGTTCTCTCACTGATATCAATCCGTGGTCATACTTGAAAAACAAATCAAATCCCTACAAACCAACTATTGAAAAGAGAATTACTGAAGGGGAAAAACCAATAGAAACTGATCTATTCTGTTTTAAAAATTCTTGACGATGAGCATATCGGAATTTTAGTAAAGAAAAACGGTTCATAGTGTGTTTTTTCAGTTGTTTGTTGTTGTTCATTAGATAATGAATTTTTTGTTCCAAGTGGAACACAGGACTTCAAGCTTGAGGTTTGAATTTCCAGTAACAGTGGTGTTTAATTGAATTTGAGATTTTCCCGTCGATTGATTGGACCAAAGTGCTCGGTCTCAGGTTGACATGTCGGCTTCTTGTGCAGATGCTTCAACGATGTCTGGGCATTTAATTAGAATTTAATTTGTGGATGGTGACTAGCAGTGGAATCCAGGATGCGCATTTCGTCCTATTTGGGACTCGTCATCTGGATGTTTGGCGTTTGAAACTAAGAGCACTGGGTTCGAGCCTCAGTGGGAACATCATCACTCACTGGGAAATGCAGGTACATCCAGATGACGAGTCCCAAATAGGACGAAATGCGCATCCTGGATTCCACTGCTAGTCACCATCCACAGTGGTGTTTTATTACGTGTTGGGGTTGCTAACCTCACGCCTAATCTCCCCTTTCACTGGGCTTACTACTCGCCAAGCGAGTTGTGGGAGTGTGTTGCCCGGGTATCGAGCCATGTACAATTGTGGCTGGCTGGAGAGAATTCTGCTGCTGAACCACCGACGCACAAATTAACGAAAATGATGCCTATGATTTGATTCAACCTTTAAGTATATGAATGAGTCTGACATAATCGAACTTGGTTGGTGAAGGGTAGTACTAAAATCTAGGCCTCATGTTTGATCCTATTTTGAACTTGTTAGATGGATGTACCTGTATTCTGGGAGAGTGATGGTGTCCCAGCAAAGACTCAAACTAAGTACCCATCATTTCAATCGTCAAAAGCGTTATCCACTAGGCGACTGAACCACGAGAGCCGCATTTTGTGTCACGAGTGTATAACTTGTTATTTGTTGAGATCATTTTGAATTTAAACCTCAAGTTTGTTTGATTTTTATTGGACTGAAATAGTCAGTCTCTGTTGATATATCGGTTCTTAGTATCAACAATCCAACGATGCCTTAAGATTGACAAGATGTTACTTGGTTTATAGTACCTACCAAGTAATACCATGTTTATCTCAAATAGTCTGATGTAATTCTCAAGAATAGTATGAACCGGAGTAATTATAGTCTTTTTTTGTATGCCAAGTGAATGTTTTGCTCACAATAACGGTTTGTTCCAGTAGTCACTAATTATACAGTTTAATTGATGGAATGAAGAGAAGAACAACTCGATTATATGGTCTAGTTTCACTTGAAGTTTGAACAAGTGAACACTTTGTGTTGACCGTACTAAAATCATGTTGCTATTGAATACTCTTTTCACTTTTAGTCATTTAGTAAAAAGTAGTTTTAGATCTGGTTAACAGTTACTATTTTTTTACCTCAATCACCCAAAATGAATTGGTTAATAACTTGGGGCTCTTGTTTCGAATTCTACCGTGATTTCCATTGTCTTTTTTTACTTAAATTCTATCTTCTACTCATTCAAATGGATTAGTGTATCCACTAACTATCTGTCTTATCCTCTGATTATCAAATGTAAGCTAGAAATCATCTTTCTTTTAGTAAAAACTAAAAATCTGACAAACCTAAGTACTTACTTTCCATACAATGTTAACAATACACATTAATGAAAAGCATTCAGTAAATCTTTCAGCCACACTATTTAACCTCCTTTTAAAGTTCTTTAATACTGTTTCCGTTTGTCAGCTGAATGGCTTAAAGTTTGCTCAGGATTCGAATCTTTCTCCATCTTTTTTATGGCTTAAGACAAGTGGTTTGTGGAATAAATCATAGAATGTAAATATGCGATTCATGGATTAGTATATGATGAAGAAAATAACTTGTATGTGGTAAGTAAACTGCATAACGGCAAAGTTAAACTATCACAGCCAAAAAGACAATGACCTTGAATAACCAATCGGAATTCAGATGCGAAAAAGTTACATAATCGTTGAAAAATGCACTAAAAAACATTGCAAGCATAATATTACACTACATAGTTGTCGCTTACATGTTGTAAGAATGTCTCCTAGTCACTGCACAGACGATCTACAGAGAAATCATAGATGCATTCATCTAGGTGACTGTAGGTCATGGTACTTTGAGATCTATTAACATTCCTGAGACTATTCTTTAACCTACTTCTAACTCTGACCATAATCCTATCTCCTAATCCCAACTTTAACCCTAATCTACTTTAATCCTAGACCCTAAATCTTAATCTAAAAAGACATCACCCTACCTAACAGTATAGATTTATAGAAAAAGTACCTAGTAAATAAGTAGAATACTTTATCTACCTTCTCCAAGTCCAAAAAAAGCAGGCTTGATTTGATTCGGTATGACCTTTCACAGCATTCCCTGTATCTGATTGGTTCCTGAAGGTCAACTTTTGAAAGACCTTGACTATGGCTGTTATATGATTATGAACAATAGTTTGTGCTCGAAACGTCATCAGTCAATATCACTGTATAACACTGTGTGATTTATCAAAATAAAATCTTATCTATAATGGAGTTATACTCTACCACAGTGCTCAAGTTTTATACTTATATCAATAATACATTGAGCTATGATACTTGAACTTCGCTCACATAACTACTACGAATGAATTCAGTGAACTCATCAGTAACCGTGTGGGTAGGGGCAGCAGTTATACGCATTTACACATGCATCGCACCCGATGATCAGTTGTTATTATTATTTATTTTATTCCTATGGGCTTCAAGCTTGAGCTCTGAAGTTTCAGTAGCAGTGGTGTTATTTTTTTCGGGGTGGGTTTGCTAGCCTCACACCCAAACTTCCTTATATTTATCCGGCGTACAACCGACTAGGGGAGGTAAAGGTGCGCGCTGGCCGGGAATAGAAAGAACCCCAAGCCACATGCATAGTCGGCAAGCACCCAATGGTTAAGCCACCGACGCACCGACCATCAATTAATGGAGTGATTTAGATTATAAGTCACATTTTATAATGAGTTTAACCTTCTTTGTGGGCGGATTACAGAAAAATTGTTTACCATGCTTGGAACATACACGTTTTTAGAATCATTTTGTCTTTTCTAAACACTGCACGTAAATTTTTACATAGTCAGTATTTTTTAGACTTATTAACACTTGTTCTTTTTCATCTTCTTAATATTTCAGTCATTATTGGTTGTGCCATTTGGATATTACACATATATGAGACAGAATGCTAAATTATTACACTAAATGTGTTTAACGGACAGTGACAGTTTAGCTCTTATATCACCTTTAAGCACAGAAACTGTAAAGAATGATAACGAAGATGACGGCGACGGTTGTCCTGGCAATCATGATGATGATGATGTAATGCACAATAGTGACATACATTCAGAAGCACCTATTTTCAATGGGGTACAACGGCGTTCAGTCAGAATAGAAGCAATTGTATCCAATGTATCTACAATATCACAACCGTCGACACAAACATCAATGACGCCTTTATCGTCAACACCAAGTAGAAAAAGGCCTTCGGTTTGCAAAGAACAATTTAGAAAAAGAAATATTAACAACAAACAGTTAAACAACGAGGTGTCATTTGATCAATCCGAGCACACTTCAGCAGCAAAGAGGAATTCGTATCAAAGTACAGACTATTCAAAAGTTTGGTAAGATTTTAATAGAATCTATAAAAAAATTGTAACTAATTTGATTTTATTGATATAATGGATAATGATTGGAAGTGAAATGAAGATTTGAGTTCTGGCAGTCTTAAGATTACACTCCTGAAGCCTTTCCAACTGAGCTACAAGACTCTATTCTGCTAAATACGTTTCATTTTTGTCTAAATTTTGTGTGATAGAAGGGTGCTGGTTATTTTTATTCTTGAAAACATTTATTTCCCGATACGAATTTAAAACAAGCAATAAAAGTTAATAAAGCAGGATTTAATGAATTCATCAAATTTCGGTAGAACTCGTCAGCTGAATACTCTACATACACGGATATATATACTTTTGAAATAACATTGGGAGTAAATAAACTACATTGAATTAGTCATGCAGAAAGACAGGTGCCAATGTTTTCCAGGTCATGTTCAAATAGATAAGGGGAGAGAGAGTATGAGAGATCAAAATTAAGATAAATTGCATTACACTTCAGTCACATCACTTAGATAAACAATTAGACATTAGAGAATATAACAAGAATTGCAAACAGAGTAATATCAATAGTAATAGTTATAATAACAATAATACTAATAACAATAATAATAAGAGGTAGAATAGTAAGTAAAACGTATTACCATGGTAGATTCAGAGTCACGACCATCTCCTTTTGTACACAGAGACCTGGTTTATAAACTCGAATTGCACAAGCCTCTGCAATTGCAAGCATCTTCTTGTTTCTTTGTCTGCTGACAATAGTGAATGACTTGACCGCGTCGATATCATGTCCGTAATCCACAAGATGCTTTGTTATTGAGGATTTTGGCACTTTGCACTCAGCTGTTTTCAACCATTTTGGCAAATGCTCCATCATGCGAGTAGACAATCGCCTTTCCGTACGACCTATGTATTTGCTTCCTCCCACAAACACACTCAAATTGATATACGCAGTTTGAAGTGTCGAGGATTGGCGACTAGTCTTTCCCAGATTGTTGAAGCACTCGCTTAGTGGTGTTAAGGAAAACAAGTTTTGCAGCATAATACGTTCTCTTGATGGCTTTGTTGGGTCTTCGTTTGACTACTTCCTGTACATCATCTCGTTTGAACGGCAAACTGATACAGATAGGTTTCTTTGGAACTGTTTGGATTGTTTTGCAGGGGCTATTTTCTTTAGAGTATTTATTAATGAACTTCTCAGGATATCCATTCTTAGATAAAATATCCTTCAGAGATTTTATTTCATGCTCAACAGTACTGTCAGAACAAATTTTTCGTGCTCTATTGAACAGTGTTCTGATTAAGTTCTTTTTATATCGGATTGGATTTTTATTCTCATCGTAATCATGCTAGAGTGGAACATTAAATGAACTGTTAATAGTAGTGTCTAAGATGATTTCCAGTTTATTAACTCAAAACTATCTCATATACAAGCTTAGGCAAATGTTTTTATAAGCGATTTCTAATAGCAGAGAACTATTCGTGATCAACACAGAGATCAGTAGCTGCGAAAATTGAGTAACACTGATATGACACTTTAAAATTCTGAATAATGGATATTATGAATTTTGGTACACCACAGTACAACTTTTATAATCCAATAGTGAGTTAAATAGATAAGAAATATAGAGTTGGATTTATTTCCGTTTAAATATTTTTTCTGAATTTATTTACTTATGAAAACTGGTCATTATACACATAGTACCGACTGATATGAGAAGTTGAAAGCTACTCGCGTCAAACAGTATTACTTGGTGACCAGATCGTAGTGTTCTAAAAACACCTGAAGACCGTTATGGGTAAATTTTTATTTTGATAGAGTCTCACAGTGTTATACAGTAATATTTACTGATGACGTTTCGAGCACAATTTATTGCTCATAAACCATGTGCAATGGTTGGCGAGCATTCTACCACTGCATTATCGACGTTAATGAAACTGTGAAGAATTCTCACTTCATACTGTTTGATTTTTTTCAAATATTGAATGTGAAAGCCTGTGATATATCAGTGTAAATAGCTTACTGAAATGATGGACTTCAAAAGTCGTCAAGTTGCCAATTGACTAACACGACATTGAAAACAGAAACACAGAAGCATATTGACACTTTAGCTTTTGACCACTATTAAGACGTTGTGGTACAGGCATTGAACTGAATTTTTTCTGAAGGGAAGTTTAAATGCGTTTTATCAAGTATGAGATTGCAGGGATTTCATTAGTTATAGGTTTGGTCACGAGCTGATATCATTTAGAAAACCATTGAAAAACCAGAGGGTACTGAACAGCTCTTTCGTCTTAGTCCGGGACTCTTCATCAGCACTCCTTTACTGGAGCTCGAAACCAAGACCTTCCAGTTGCAAGGCCATCATGTAGACAGAGTTCATGGACCAAGTAAATACCTGTAACCCCACAACTGATCATTAATCTGATGCTCATTAACGAAACAGAGGTCCAAAACCCCTTGGTTTTCCAATAGATGCGTTTTCCGTTCAACACTTATTTAGTTCTTGAGATCTGAATATATCTTTGGAAGTTTTTAAAACCGAATAGCTGAAACTGACGAAAAAAAAACAATTTAATTTTTGATGTGGAAAAAATATGACCCTAGGAGTAGTGAATAACTATTTTGGATTACTTTATGCTGTCTCTATACATCTTGTGAAGTCAGTTAAAGTATCTAAGTTTTACAGGTACCAAGGTCTTCAAAACAGTAGCACGACTTTACTGACTAGTAAATTTTACACAGTATTATTTGAAGTGTGCGTCGGTGGCACAGCGGTTAGGACGCTCGCCGATCATGCACATGGTCCGGGGTTCGATCCCCGGCCGACGCACTTCTTTACCTCGCTAAGCCAGAAATAATGCTGGTAAAGAAGAAAGGTTGGGCATGAGGCTAGCAACCTCATCCTGTAAAATTAATCACTACTACGGAAACTTCAAGCCACTAGCTTGAAGCCCTATGTTCCATTGGGAACGTGAAGGAAAGAAAAAAATTGAAGTACAGACCTCTATGAAAATTATTAAAATCTCATAAAGACAAATCAATTATAATTCTATTTTAATGATTTCATGAAGACACTTAAAGTAATTTAAGGACTGATGACTTTTGGATTTTACCTCGAGTGATTTTATCATAAGAAAGCGTCAAAAATTTTATCTTACCCATAAATTATAAATTTAGATTTTTCCATTTAGAAAACTTTAAATGGTTTGTAGTTAATTAGTACATATTTTAGTGAGGTTGATATTTTTCAGAATTGCACAATAACCTGAGGAAATAAATCGAAGAATGGAATCAGTTAAAAAACACGATAAATTTTTATTTTTATTGTACTTTCACTATGTGAAAGTAAAGAGTAGATGAGGCTATATTTATAGTCTGTAAAAGGCTGTTGAACTGCATTGCAACATAAAATCGACTTTCTGAATCACTACACAGTTGGTAAGGATAACAGGCACTTCATAATTGAATTATTATTTTATTTTTATTTATTTTATTATTGCTTCATTCCACACAGTATTTTGGTACAAGTATGAAATTTTCAGCGTGTGATATCGGTAGCCCAAATTTAGCAGGCCGACCATAGATATCATGTGTGCGTCGGTGGGGGATCGAACCTCGGACCATGTGCATGGTCGGCGAGAGTACTAACCGCTGTGCCACCGACGCACATGACATAAAGAATAATCTACTGATGTGATGAATTAGTTGTCCATATCAGGAAGTTAGTACTTCTCTATGGTTACGGGAATTGATGCACAAAACATCAAAACATTCCCTACAGGCTGCTAAAGACTTTTATCAACATCTGCCTTCTCTTCATACCAAAAATCAGATGGTCAGTCGGATATCATAACCAATAAAGAATTCAGGAGGTGTAACGAACCAGCGAAGAACCTGGTGCTTAACAAGTATGCAGAAGGAAATGGAGATATGCCACTGAGGCCTTATGTTCTTCTCAGAAAGCAAAGAATGCGTTACTTACAAATGTAACTATATTTTTTTATTCCTTTGTGTTCCAAGTGGAAAATATGGCTTCAATCTTAATTTTTGGAGTTTTAATAGCAGTGATGTTTTCTTCTACTGGGTAAGGTTGTTAGCCTCTCACCCAACCTTCCCTCTTTATCGGGCTTACTACCGGTCAAATGAGTTTTAGGAGTGCGTCGGCCGGGGACCGAACGCCGGACCACGTCGATGACTGGCGAGCATTCTACTTCTCTGAATAAAAAGCAAATGAATAATGAAGTCAAAAAAAGCATAAAAATATGATAAATTTCTTTGGTTTTTACCCTTTTCAAGCTGTGGATTACAGCTATTCCATGTTGAGTCCAAATACCAAATTATGGACCTAATCCAGACCCAATGACAGTTACTGTCGACTTGAGTCGTTAAGTAGTTAAGTTTCTAAATTCAGCAATGATTGACGAAGATACACAACATACAAGAAATACAAGTTTCCTATCAATTAGAGATGGTTTTATTTCACCTAAATCCTGATACCATGCTTCTAAGCTTACTTGTGAGACTGCTAATTCCATCGATAAACCTTGAACAGTACTACAGAAGTCTACTAATGAACCGCTTAGCACCAGGTTATCAATTTCCACGCATAAAACTACTTAGTAGCAATGAGTGTTAGGCATAATTAACAGAATCTCTGAACTAGGGGTGTATCCTTGTCAATGACCATTAGTGAACACTGAATCTAGCTGTGAAAGTTCAGCATCAAATAAATCCATTTTCGTTCCACTTGAGCGTTAGTGAATAGTAAAAATAAAAACTTTACTCTCATCATTGCTATTTCAAACAGTAAAGTCACTCATGACATTTTTGTCTATTTATTTTGTGTATATATATGATTGTATATCCAGATAAATAAATATACTTGTTAGGTGTGTAAGTAGAATAATAGGAAGGTGCTTTAATAGCTAAATAATGCATTTTGGCGATTAAATATTTTCATAATGGTTATCAAAAGATGAAAAAGAGATAAATTGATGAATAA